GGCGGGGCCGGCGGGAGGGGAGCGCGGCCGTAAGCGGCGGCCGAGGGTCATGGAGAGCCGGGAGAGGGCCGGAGGGAGGGCTGTCCCCGGCAAGAGTCGGAGGGAAAGCGGAGGAAACAGCTCCTCCTGTCAGAAATGGGGTGGGTGCCTCGCGGTGGGGCTCGTAGCAGTTGCACGGCCTGCCTCGCCCTGTGGCTGAGGCGATTTTGCTTAGCTTTTTTTCGTTTCCGAGTTCCCAGAGTTAACTAATAAAAAACAACATTTTTCTGGCATAATTTGTTACTGTTTGTTATACGCTGCAGAGCTGGGTAACAAGAAAGAAGAAATATCACCCAGTTTCTCCTGTTCTACACCGTGCCCTGTTTTATAGCCGTAGACATGGCTTGTGCTCACTCATATTCCTCTGACCTCCAGGTTAAAAATTTTAACCCTAAATTCCACAATTTTTATAATTTAACTGCTTATGTTGGCACATGATCTGTTTATTTCATCCTTTTTTTTGGAATGGCAGAAGTTGAATCTAATACTTCAGCCAGAGACATAATATCAATTTGTCATTTTTCAATATTGTTTTGTATCCTGGATATTTTCTGACCTTTTCTTTACCCTTTCTCAGCGTTCTGCACCAAAAATAGCCCCGATAATTATTTTTTCTTGCTTGGTCTTGTTGAAGGAAATAAAATGGTTGTGTTTGTCTCTCTCCATCAAGTCCCCTCAATAATTTTCAATGATCTAGTTCAGAAATATTTGACAGTGGAGAAGAAAGCCTCAGGGATAATATTTTTGCAGATTTCATGAAAATTGGTGTCTGGGTAAAGGAAAGACAAGATACCCACATTGGTTTCCTTTGGAAGGGGTGAGCCAGGAGGATTCAGCTCTCATTCTCTGCCCAGCGTATGCTGGAAGGAGAAGCAGGAGGGGAAATGGTGGGGGTCTCCCAAAGGTTATTCTGGACCTGGCAGAAATGTAGGTTTACTGCAATTGCAGGGAAGGTAGAAACAGGAGACATAGGACAGCAATTCACAGGAAATTAGATCTTATGAATTGCTCTGTGAAAAAATTACTTTTATTTTTTTCTTGTCCTTCAGCTGTCATATACTCATCTGTCACGAGTATGATTTTAGCACAGCTGAGAAAATGTATTTATTATGATTTGATTCTTGGGTAAAGCCTTATCCAAATCCCTCATTCCCCCACTTGCCTTTTGACCTTTGCATTTTCCTGTCAAAACATGCAGACTTTTTTACAGAGCTCTGTGAAATTTCTGACTGCTCTGAGGAGATAATCAGCATCCTCACTTTGGACCCGTGGCCCTGAAGACTGACTTCTTGTAACCTCTCTGAGTCCTTCTGAATATACTTTTCCTTGACTGACTGCAAAATTCTTCACTGGAATGTACGGCTCAGAAAAGGAAACTCACTCTGCACAAGTTTTCCTTAAACTTATTAGTGGTTTTGTTCTGTTTTGCTATGCTGTACATTTCTTAATCTGTTTGATAGTGTGCAAAGTTGATGCACTAGAGCACATACATGATTACAGCAGTGAGTTACATGGCAGGGTTAATGCTGCTTCCGGGTTTAAGGCTACCCAGGCACTTAATCATGTTGGTAACTTTCAGAACAGTTTGTTATTTCCTGTGGATACTGACAGCAACAAAGCAGGGTCTCATCATAAAGAAGAAATACAGGTTCCCACTCCTATCTTACCTAGAATAGGAATTTCCATCTTGTACAAATCAGCTGCAAGACTGACAGTGAGGAGTGAGATATATAAAGCTGGCAATGTGTGTTTGTATCAGCTGATACCTTTCAGGACTTAAAAAGGATTGTCTACCCGTGTAAGTAAATTCCTGTGTTTTGAACTTTGAATTTGTTTATGAAAACTGCATGTGCTTCAATATTTTCATTGTAAGTGCTGATTTCTATTTCTTCAACCCTGCCTAAATAACCCTAAGTTAAGAGAGGCAGAATCTTTTATTTTAATCCAGCTTGAGGGGTTTATGTATTTCTTTTCTCCCCCCATGTTTTTTTACTTTGCTGTTGTTGAAATTTTATTGCAAATGTGCCCTTATCCCTGTTCATTTGGGCTTCTTTAATGACCTGGTTTCTTTTCTGGGCATCTCGCTCTGACAGATGCTAAATATTTCTTGCCTTTTCCATTTTCCCAAAATGATGTCAGTTCTCCGTGTTTCTGTAAGAAGATAAGGTGACCACTGGGATTCAGAGGTGCAGGAGATTTCCAGCAATCTTGTCTTGACCAACGCAAACTTTTAGAATTCAATTTCTGGTGGTTTTGAAGGTTGCTTTTTGGATCTTTTTTCTACCCTGAGCTGTCTGTTCTCTGCAGCCTGATTTTATTTCCTTCATTGTTTCTTTTCTGTATTTGCTTTGCCTTTCTCCTTTTCACTCGTTAACTAATTCACCTCTTCTCTCGTTATCTATCATTTGATTTTTCTTGATCTCTGTGCAAGAGAATCTTTTTACCCTCCAAATGTTTGTACAGTTTCAGAGAGTGAGCGAAAGAGCTAATGGGTGGCCTTGGCTTCAAGTCTGTGCAAATATTTGTCTTCTATTGTGTACTGAAATGAGCAACTCCTTAATAAATGCACTTAATCTCTCCTGATGCCGGTACCTGCAGCTGAGACTTTCTATAGAATACAGGGACTGTAGAGCATGTTACTTAAAACCTGAATAACCATGAATGCATTTCTCATAAGCTAAAACATTGCTGTGCTTGTCAAGACTGTATTTTGAGAAGGGTTTTGTTTGGGGGACATAGGAAGCAGTCAAAAAATTTATTTTGACTAAGCAAATTTACTTCTGACACTACTGACCTCAGTTAGACTCTGTGATGCAAAACTGGAAGGATATGAGGGTGAATCAGCCCCATTGTTTCTTTGTGTACATCCTAATAATTGTCCCTATGGACTTTTTGCAATACACACGTAACTTAACAATGCAGACAATTACCTCTCCTTCCACAAACTTTCCTTTTACCCTTTCTTTGGTGGTATTTATACAGGGAAGTGTGAGGATAGCAATGAACTCTACTTACCTTCCACTACTGACCTATCTGAAGCAGAGCAATAATCTGTTTTTTCACTACACCCCTCTGCTGTACTGTCTTTGCTGGGGCTATTTGCTATACCTAGATTGGGATCATGTCATATTCTTATATGCCTCCCACAGAGTGTCAAGGTAGGGAAGGAAATACCCTGATTTACCAAGTCATGGTCTTTGACATGAGTCTGTTTCAACACTGTTTTCTTAGCAAGCTGTTTTCTCTGTGAGCTGTTATCAGCTCTATGCAAATAATACTCTGAGCAAAATCATTCTTTGACACATGCTTTTATCTGCCATCACATTTTGATACTTTTAGTTCACCTGTTTTGATAGTCACTAATTAATCTTTGTAAGTGTTCAACTCGCAGAAAGGAAAACATAATTTTCAGTCAGGATTATTTTTCTTCCAGTCTGGGGAAAAGAACAACAAAGAAAATGCAGAATGTTTTCTGCAAAACCAACTCTGAATAAATAATCCATTAAAACCAGAAAGGTCTTCGACCTCTCATTTGTAGAAACTGGGAATCAATCCACTGTCAACCATAAAATGCCAAAGAGTACACCAAGTCCACCATAGTGGTAGGCTCTGGCTTGTCAGCACTTCATTATCCTGCAAAAATACTATTTCACTGTGTACTTGAGGCCTACCACTATGGTGGACTTGATGAAGTGCTGTCAAGACAGAGCATGCATGTAGTTACAGGAAAATGAAGACTTGGGACAGGAAGGTAGTGCCAGGCATTATCTGATACAGTTAGTTCTGGTAGCAGGCCATTGATTTCAAAGGCTTAACAGATTCTCAAGTCTTCCTGCAAAGATACTAATTTTCCTGCAAAGGAATTAATATTCATGCCTGATTTGTTACTGTGCAAAAACAATGTTGGTGTTAAGGAATACTCTAAATTATTATGGAGTCTTACAACTGGTGATAAAGCTGCATGTATTCCTCCTAGATCAAGCACGGTGCTTAGTCATGAAATCTGAACAGCTGTCTGTTCAAGGTTCTTAAAGCAAAGTGATCTAGTCTTGTTCCAGACCTCTGGAGGCTTCCACTGGAAACTGAAGCATTATCAGAGACAGAGAAAAGAAAGACACTACCTAGAGAATATGTAAAATAGGCTTTCATAGCAACAGAGGGAGGAAGAGACAGATGGACAACTTTCCATAGGTCTACAGCCTAGCTGGGCTTGGATAAACAAAGTCCAGAAAAGGAAGAAAAAAAACAAAACACAAAACTGGAATTACACCATGGGCCACAAGACAAGCTTGTAAACTACTGGATGATTTTGGATAAGCTTAATGTGTCTTGATTTCAGAGCAAAGAGGGCAGCATAGTGAAAAAGCTGAGTCAGGAAATTGTGCACAGTATTATGTTAATTTAGTTCTGTGTACTTGTTACTAGGTAAAGTTTTGGTAACTATGCTAAGTTCCTGTGCGTGTTGAAAACTATACTGATCGTGTGCCCCTCCACACAGAAGTCAGAAATCAGCAAGTCAGTACTTTTAGTAATGCAAAAAGAAGTGCAAAAAGTCCTGTGAAGGCCTGTGGGAAAAATGCCATTAAGCTCACAGCCCGGCGCCCCTGCTGCCAGGAGAGGTAGCAATCATGAGCTTCACCTCAACAATAAGTGTGTAAAATGCCTCTAAAAAATTGTTACACAAACTCCTCCAGTCCCATCAAGCTGAGTGACCTCTGTATTTGCTTCCCCTCATGTGAACTGGAGGAGGGCCCAACAGTCAGAGGTCAAGAAGATCCATTAGGCTAATGTGGGTTAATTGATTCAATAAGTCTAATGTTATGTACTAACCTTTTATCATCCCTGACCCGGGAAAAACCTGAGGCAGGCGGGGTGGTAGGGAAATACCTAAATACTTAAATAAATACATAATAATTCCCATTTCCGCTCCTTTTGCTGCAATTTAATTCCCATTTCTGCTCCTTTTGCTGCAATTTCTTTTCATGCAGTGAGGAAATCCTGAGACAGTGATTACTCTTACATCACCTTCTCTACACAGTATCACTGAACACACTACCTTAATAACGTAATTCTGTGTTTGGACTAATGGTGCTGTCTTGCCTTTTTGTTTGTTTTTCCTGTTTTGTTACTGACTACTTGGCAGTTGTAGGAATCTTTAAATAACCTGGAATATGGTGGAAGCAGTACTGATAGATCTGTTCAGCCTACCAGCCAACTTGCAGAACAACATCCCAGGATTACTATTGAACACTCTGGAAACTATTGAGAAATGCTCTTCCATCCCTGCTCCATTTGTTTATGTCATGTGTTGCCAGAGGCAGGAGAATGGTGAACAAGAGTCCTTGCTTCCAGCTCTGAGAAATTTGCAGAGTCTGAAGAAAAGACTGCAGGTGGTACATGCTCTGACTACAGCTGCTGCTTTGTACACCATCAAACAAAGACTGGATGAAAAAGACCTAAGCATCATTAAAGTTATTCTCCCTACCTTAAGAAAAGACTTAGTGAAAGTATATATAGATCATCTCTTTACAGCAGTCTACCAGTTTGAATTTGAGGATTTACAGGTGGCATCTGATTGTAAAAACCTACAGATAGCTGAACCTCGGAGTGAAGAGCAAATGGTTCCTACACAAGACGTGGCAGTCATCCTAAGTGAGATTCAGATGTACTTGGAAAGCTTGCCAAGCCTGAACGGGGAGCTCACCATCCTCAGATCTTCCCTGATCCCAGGTAAAGAGAATCCCAGCTAATAGATTTTACAGAGGCTGTTCCCAAGCATACTTCAAGAGAACTGCAAAATGGGTAAGATTTGGAAATGTCTTCAGGCAGCAAATAACTCTATGTGATGTTACAATCATGTGTCATGTCTGTAAGAAGGGGAAGTTTCAATAAAGATACAGCAACAGACTGGCAAGTCTATTCCAGGCCTGGGGCATGGCCAGAGGAAAGAGAAGCCCAGGTTTTGTGAGAGCAGTATTCCAGACAGTGAAAATCTTCCCCTCTCTTCCCCTCTGTGTGGGAATTACACACTACGAGAGTTACCATCGTTTTTTGGAAAGGCAGGACAGGAGTTTCTCCTGGTCTGCAGCCTCACACATGCCTGGTTAATCAGACTGATTTATCAGTGTCCCTGGCCATGGCACGACCCAGTTTACTGCAGCACATCTCTCAAGCAGTCTGATTATTGCGTCTCATGATTTAGAGTATTCAGGGGAAAGCTGAAAGGTTTTCTACTGCAAAAGTTTGGAACCGTCTTTCCCTAAAAATATGTCTGAAATGATCCAAAGCCTGAAGGGAACATGAGTTACTTAAAGCTATCTTTGCCTGCGCTGTGCTTCAAGTTTCTGACTATGACTTTGAGAGGGTCACACTACATAAAAGAGATTTTGAATCTCAACTGATTATATCACTAAGCTTGTCAGCTATTAAGATAGCAAAAATACCAGTTGTAGGACGATTGCTATGTTCCACTTTGCCACGCAAACCCTATCCCTTGCATTGTCCCCAAAAGCAGTGATTGCATGAAGCCACAATAAATGATCCGCACTGTAAAAACAGAAGATTTTTCAATAACACTACAAATTCTCAGTGCTTTTCAGGTGTTTGAGATTCTGCAGTGTCTTGAGGACTAGTGCATCATTTGCCAAAAAAGCTTGGCAGATGCCACCTTAGAACATTTGCTTAAAAGTCTACTCTCATTTTCCTCAGTGAGTTACCTCTTCTCTAGGGTTTGCACTACAACTCTGCAAAAAGTCAGGCTAAATCTGCCAGGACTTCTTGCTCAAATCCCTCTACCTTGGCCTAAGACAATTATGATTATGACCAAGAAGGAAATTTAGAATCCTTAAATTTAAATGCCACAGCTAAATACAAGGTAAAGCAGTACCCAATTGGCTGATTACCGGGCTCTTCAGTATAAAACCATGCTATATCTGGACTGGTCTTGTGTTGAAAGCAATTGTTTGTTTTCTTTTTTGCCTTGCCAGATGATATCTTCCTACATGGCTTCACCACAAGGACAGGTGGCATCTCCTACATACCAACTCTAAGCTCCTGCAATCTCTTCAGCAGTTCCAAGCGGAGGGACCCACAAGTTGTTGTTAAAGAAAATCTCCGCCGGATAGCTAAGGCTGCAGGATTTAACCCAGAGACTTTTCACAGAGTTAAGGTATCTTATCAAACAATTGTTTTATGTAAATGGATCAGATCTTCCTTCATGTATCACTGGCTAAAACTGTAGGCATTATTCTTACGTTTCTCAGTAAGAACTTATGAAAAGCAAGACAATTAAAACATTTATGGTGTCAGTTTATCTGTGGGAATAGCCATACAAACTATCAGCCATTTGGCACTATATGGAGAAGCAGCACTGTTTCTTCCAAGTATATTCTAATATGTAACAACACAGAGTAGAATAATCAGATAAATGATCAGAGCAGTTTCTCTTAAAAGAAAAATAAACCATCATTTCTGTGGTGCCTTTCTACTGACACATCTGCATGGCATTTGAACAAGGGAGTGCCTGATTTCCATGCATAATCAGTTGGTGCAAGAGAGTGTTTCGTGACAAAGAAAAATCCTTTCATTAGTCAGAACTGGGGTTTTTTGCTGCTGTATCACTGTCCATGTTCTGGTTTTGTCTTGACAGACTGATCACGCTAATGCTGTGTGTATTACGGGAAAGACAGAGCCTGACAGCTATGATGGAATAGTTACGAATCAGAAAGGTGTTACAATAGCAGCTCCGGGTGCTGATTGCATACCCGTGCTGTTTGCTGATCCTGTCAGAAAAGCCTGCGGTGCTGCTCATTCTGGTAGGAGTTTTAAACCTCTGAGATCAAAATAACTAGGAGACCACTGGAAAGGGAGTTCTGGACTAAGGATTACAAATTAGCAACCACTGAGTGAGAATGAATAAATGCAAGATCACCTAACAGTATAAACCCTGACCGGTTAAGTTTGTATCTGCCAAAACAAGATTAGTCTTGAGAATAGTTTGTTTCCCAAGCTGTGTATTATTTTTTAATTTTATAGCTGTAATATATATTATTTATGTATTTATGTGTTTATTTTTCTGATCTGGTAGCCAAGCCCAAGTAATATTTTTTGTCCCCTGTGGCAATAAAGCCAATGTCCCCAATGGTCATTTTGGATCAGAAGAAATACTTGTCTGACCCAAACCAAATGAGAATAAAACTGAAGCAGGGATGGTTAACACAACTGGGGATTATGTCAGACTTCAGAAGATGTCCCAACTGTTAGGCTAGAATAGGTATCCCATGATGAGATTTCCCTGCTAAGGCTGTTTCATTTTGTAAAAAAGTCTGTATTTATGCAGTCAAGGAGAATGTACAGCTCCTCAGCTTTGATGCTAGTACACCCCTTGATAATGGTAGGAAGTTTCCTCTCTGCCTGGAACTTAGTAATACTACCTAATTCATACAATTCTTCATGCATTGAATAGATTAGTCAAAATAAATTCAAATTTGTGAGATATCATAAGATGATCAAAACTTTGACTTTCCTTCAATAAAGTTGGGGGGTGTGTGTGTGTGTGTGTGTCCCATCCCGTGATGGGAGAAAGTGAGAGTAATGAGAGTTATGGCATGTCTGTCTGGGGAGACAGGGGAATGTTGTGTGTTTTAATGGGGAGAAGGGATGAAGAGAATTTTATCTGCTCTTGAAAGGTCCAACCCACACTGCCGCCTTCTCCAAGCATAGCTCTAGCCTGAACTTCTACCTTCCATCTCCCAAGTTTTGGCCTTCATTCCCACATCACAGTCCTTGCCAGGCTTTGAATTACTTTTTTGTCAGTTCTTTCCTTCCTGTCCAACCCCACCTCAGTTCATGTTTAACTCGAACACATGTTGCTGTTATACAAATAAAGACAGTTAGGTATAACTGTTAAGTATAAGGTCATCTCAGTCTTTGGATGTATTAAAGCAGAGGAAGAGTTATTACCATATCCTGTCCTTCGTTATGATACACTCCCTGTACAATGCAAAGATTTACTGAGACTCAAACTGAGATACAAGAACGCAAAGCTGGGTGTTCTTCTACCTATTATGAACAATACAAAAGTGCAAAGTTTGGCTTTTTTCTGTCTATTCCAAATACTGTCTCTAGCTTGAGCCTCTTTTTTTTTTTTTTTTTCTGAAATAACACAAACCCCATTTTCGCAGTATTATTAAAATATGCTTTTGACTGTAGCACACTTCTGTTGTCATATTCCCATTTAAATTTTTCAAGCACAAAGGAGCTGTAAGGTATGCTGTAGTTGCCTAAACCAGGACACTGGGAAAAAGTAATTCTGCAATCGTAATCTAAACTCTTCTCTCGAGTTTCATCTCCACAAAATTATATAAGCAAACTAATAGTTGTTAATGTGTTAATTTTTTTTTTAAATACTTTTATTATTAGATATAATTATTTATTTTTGATGTAAATATATCTATTAATTTGTACCTTTAATAGTAGCATGTATTTTAGCTACTATAAAATTAAAGAGGCAACTCATACAAATTTTTTTTCAACCTTTCATTTCTCACAGGATGGAAAGGCACGTTGTTAGGAGTGTCTATGGCCACTGTAAATGCAATGGTATCTGAATATGGATGTAATGTGAAAGATATCCTTGTGGTGCTGGGCCCATCTGTAGGTCCTTGCTGCTATAAACTTCCTCATGAATCAGCAAAAGAATTTCACCAAATTGATCCAAAGTGTGTGAGACTATTTGACTCTGCATGTCCTTATATTGATATCAGAAGAGCAACACGGTAAGCCTACTAAGTGAACAAAAGATTAGTTCCACATTAGATATCAATAATTATTTTGATATTGTATTATCCAGCAATATTATTGTGACAGTCCTTACCATCTTGAATTACTCTCTAGTGCTTTGCAGATCAACAAATGATACTTTTAAAGGAATGGTATCTGCTCACTTTTGCTGGGTTCCAACTATTATTTTACTGTTTAGTGTTTATGGATTATAGACAGATGTTCAAATTAAATGTAGTTCTACTGGTTGCAGAAAAGCAATTATTTTAGTACATTACTGGAAGAAAGAAAAAATAAAAGCACATGAAAGTCCCAATCACAATATTGACACCATTTGTTCAATTGATACTTGAGATGTTGTCTGAATGATTGTGTCTTAAGGAATGTGAGAATGTAAAAAATGTTATTTTCTGTTTCTTTATCTTTCTTTAGGATTCTTCTTGAGAATGGTGGGATTCTTCCTGAGAACATCCGAGATGATTCTGTCACAGATCAGAACCAAAATGTCACTTTCTGTACTGCATGCCATCCTGATAAGTTTTACTCTCACTTTCGTGATGGCAATAACTTCGGGACACAGATTGGCTTCATATCAATCAGAGACTGATAGTATCTCTTACTCTTGAATAGTATTTTATTCAGTAAGTGTGGAGCATTGTATGACATTCTGATCTCCTTGTAGAAGTTCTTCCTCCTTTCTTTCACAGACTTAAAGAATTCACAGGTATTGAGAATCTCCTGCTTCTTCCCTGCCATTCTGAGGCAAGAATAAATGTCTAGGGTGTAGGGCAAATAATTCTTCTGTAAGAGAGAGTGCAAAGGAAACAAGGACAACCCACACCAGTGACAAAGCCCTTCTGCAAGACCACATGCAAGCTCCCATTTTTTGGACCCTTCTTGACTAACTATTTCCCAGAAACCTCATTGTTTTAAGGTGGTGAAAGCACAGAAGAACAGTCTTCATTAGCTTCTGAGTGAGACTTATAAATGAAGTCAAGTATGACGTTACTGATATCGAAAGAGAAGTCTGTATTGCACATTGACTGTTTGAGAACACTGCACTTCTTGTTAGTTTCAGCCTTATGGAATTACGTGCCTGGTATTGTTCTTCTCTGGATGAAAGAAGAGCTCCAAAACGCACACAGGACTTCTATGGAAAATAACTTGAAAGTGTGAAGCAAACAAGCTCATTTGAGGCAAACACTGAATATCTATGAAACCTCACCATTCTGTATTTTTTGACTGTAGAAAAAGTAGGACTAAGACTCTTAATATGATATGACATGTATGTTCATGTTTCCTTAGGATTTTTTTTCGTTAAACTGTTGGTGCTCTGGTACTGTCCATCAAGTTGGTCTCCACAGTGCCCAGTTATTAAATAAATATCTAAACAAGAGAGTCAATTTAGCCTCAGTTAATTGTACTGACCAATAGCTGATGTATCTGTCTTACTAAGCAAAATCTAAGTGTGCACTGTTTTCTTTTGGCCATACAAAATTTGCCTCTAGACCTTACAATAGATGTGATAGTTCCTGACACATAGACAGTGAGAGTTTCCTAATAGTAAAACTATGCTGACTGTAGCTTGCACAGTTGCCAAGTACAAGCCTTGGGACAACTGTCCGAATGACGTATTTTATATTTTGAATTCAATGGTCTTTACCAATTCTAGACTTTCATGTCCACTAGAGGTCAGTGCTCGCTCACGCTGCACTCCATCCCTGGCTACACTGTATGTATGGTTTTCAGACCATGAATTTTGCAAAGCACTGTATGGCATATGCTGCTGCTTTTGCCTATATAATCATCTATCAAGTTATTCTATTATCTATTTTTTAGATTGTTTATCTGTTTTTCATTTGATTGGGCTGTGATTCAGAGCTGACCAAATTAGAACTTTCCTTGTCGTCTGGGAGAACTGACTTTTTAAAAAACTTTCTTTTACCTGTGAATGGTATTTCCCAGAGAAGAGCTTGATTCTGAGTATTTCACCCTCTGACTGTAATCACTGACCAAAAATTACTTCTTCCAACTCTCCTACAGAAATATTATTCCTCTTCTGCTGCAGCCTGCCATCCTTAGCAATAAAAATCCTTACATTTTCAGTTATCTTTTTAAAACCTCACCATTGCTTTCATCATTTTCAGTTTCTTTTGTAACTCCACTGTGGTGATCACAGCTGAATTCAAACTGGAGGTTCAGGTTCCAATAGGCACAGCACTCACAACCCTCAATTTAATGCTCCCAGACATTACTGCACACTAGCTGATGGTGTTTACGGTATGTATATGTATATGCATGTATATGTATTTGACTTATTCCAAATATAATCGAATAATATAATTGTATGGACACTGACAAGCTTATCTTGCTGCACTAGGTAAAAAACCCCAACAACCTACCTTCACATTTTAGTTCTGTCCCTTTGCCCTGGTATCTAAGTGTGAACCACTTCATGGGCACTGACTGATGTAGCAGTAGAGTGAGTAAGGTGTTCTTCCTTCTGCTCTTTCTGCTCTGGGGGCAGTAGCACCATGTAGTCTTCAGTCCCTGCACCCGAAGCTCAGCCAAAGCTTGTCTGTCAGTGCCCTTCACTTAACCCTCTTCCCTTGTGGATTAAGAGCATTCTGTCAAAAGCAGCTGAGTTACTCAGTTCTGCAAGGTATTGCTTGACATCTGAAGCATCATAGGTGTGCATGTGCCTGCTGTCAGCCCATCTTAGCTCAAAGATCATAGAACACAGAATCTCATTAAATGGTTTGGGTTTGAAGGGACCTTAAAGATCATCTGGTTCCAACTCCCCTGCCGTGAGCAGGGACACCTTCATCTAGACCAGGTTTCTCAAAGCCCTGTCCAACCTGGCCTTGAACACTGCCAGGGAGGGGGCAGCCACAGCTGCTCTGGGCAACATGTTCCAGTGTCTCACCACCCTCACAGGAAAGAATTTCTTCCTTGTCCTGTGACTACACTCCCTGATACAGAGTCCCTCCTCATCTTTTCTATAGGCCCCTTTAAGTACTGAAAGGTTAAGATGGTTTTAAACTAATGCATTTAACTTTGCAGTAAGTAGAAGGACCTTGCAGCTGTGGTACTTAGCACAGTTCAAATGCTCAACAGTATATTAAGTCACAGTAACGATACTGATAGTAAGCCCTGGCTAGTTCATACCTGCTCAAGAATGACAACAGAGACTTTCTGTTTAGAAAAATACCATTTAGAGGTCATGGTAGGACTATGCAAGCTGGAGAGCATGTCAGAATGAGCAGAAACACCAAAGACTTTACCTTTTAGAAGACAAATTCTTACCACAATTGTTGTTCATTATTTCTTTTACACCAAATTACCTACACTGTAAACCTGTCAAGACAGGAAGCAGCCTTTTGTACATGGATTACTGAGGTGGAGAACTCCATGACCAATAAGAAAATAATAATATTCAGTCCCCAAACAGGTTAGGCTCTGCATCATATAGTTGGTTTTTTTTTCCAAAGTCCTTGCTACAAAGGCATTTTAATTCTGGTATTTAAAAAGTTTAAAGGAAGGGCATGATAAAAAGGAGACAAGGCTGTTTCTCATCTCTATTTACTTTTCGTTCCTATTGCTCACTAAAGGAGCCAAGCAGATCTTCCCACTTAAGGAAGCTCTTAAAATGTCACATAAATTGTCCAGCTGTACCTACCTAATCATCAGATCCCATTTATTAACCTTGTCCATGAATTTATAATCTGCATTCACCCTATTATTGTTATTAAATAACATTATTAATTATTAATGTGGTGTGCCCTGAGGCAAGCACAAAACATGATCACACTGAATATTGTTTTTGATAGCTATTACTGTGCAATTAACATTTGTTACTATTGTAGATTCTGAATATGGGCCTCTTCATTTACATTTATATATTGGAATGGAGTGTACCAAAACATGTCTGTGAAAGGCTTTATTCACTATTCCAGTAAAACAGGGCATCTCTAACACAGACTTCTGGTTCCAGTGCCTGGGGAAGCAGCATGAAACTTCAGAGGCATAGATCAAAGCCTGAGATAATTAGTGAAATGTTTACCCAAACTGAGATTTATTGCCACAGGTATGGCAAAGGTGAAGAATATTAAGGGTGTTATATTAAAAATATCTTTAATTATTTATAGAAGTTAGCTGCATCCATGACTGCTAGTGTCTTTCTACTGTCAACCCAAGGAGACAGGATGGGGTCTAGACAGTTGCTTGGTCAGAGTTCAACATTTGATGGCTGTGTTTGTGAGAGGCAGCAAACTCAGAAGCCATGGGACTGGACCTTCAGCCAAACACTTGGGCACATCTCAGCTCACAGAAAGGATATCATTCCTCCCAAATTACAAGCATTCAATTGCAAGAAGGTGTCTCCTTTCCCCAGCAGTGACATAATTTGCAAAGTGGTCGTCTTTGCCTCCAGTCTTAAAATTTCTTCATGCTTATCTTTTGTGCATTGCTGTCTTTCTGTTCAGCACTTCTCACAATCGCCCTACAAGGCTTGTGAATCCAGTCACAGGGTGTTGGAGGAAACAGATGACATTTTGCATAGAGCTGCGCCAATTTTGCTTTCTTTTACATGTATGTGCTTTTTTTTTTTTTTTTTTTCCTTTAGCAGCAGTGTAAAACTTTTTGTCCTCAGCACAGGATCTTAATCAGTATCCTTCAATCCATTCCCATTTTACAAGTTTCTGCAAGACCGCCCAATTGCCAGCCTACACAGCAAAGAAGTCAATATTCCCAGATTGCCTCATTGCTGTCCTCATTTCCACTGCATGCTCAATTTGCTGCTGGGTGATGCAAAGAGGGAGATGAGCTGCACTCATTTGTCCCGAGGCTTAGAGGGGGTGCGTGGATGCGCTCGCCTTGATGTCATGTGTGCGAGGCTTTTGTTCTCCGCGTACCAAAGTCCTCGCTGAACTCCAGCCTCTTGTGTAACAATGTAACAGGACAGTGCCCTGGTGGGAGCAATAAATCCCGTGTGTGACAGAGGAAATAATGTATTGGCCTGCTGAAGGATTTACATACCTCTGAAGACTGACAGCAAGCTCAGCCTGTAAGGCTGACTTGTTCTACTTTCCATTTCCAGCAGATACTACCCAATGTTTCCAGATGAATGATTCAGATAGAAATGTACGTGGATTTAAGAATGGTCCTAATCCTGTATATTCTTATATCCAGGATGTTACTAATTGCTATCCAGTGTCACACCTTTTTCTAAGACTGAGAGATTTTGCTGCTCTGCTTGCTTTAAATATACAGCGCCTGTGGCTGTGCTGCTAAAAAGTATGATTATGTATTTCCCAAAGGCATGCAGAGAAATAGGCAGCTAGCTTTTTTAAGTGATCCCTCTGATCTTTCATTAGTAAGCATTTAATTTACAGTAGCATCTCACATTACAAATACTTGGCTGGCTCTCTTTGTCTGCAAGCTCTTGGGGGTCAAAGGAGGCTCACAGAAGAATTTTGAGAGTGCAGTCCCTGGAGGACAGCAGGGCTGAGGTCTCTCTCTCTCTCTTCCCCTTCTGCGAATGTGGCATCATGTCTCCAGGGCAACCTGAATTCTGACAGTCACGGGAGCAAGGACATGGCATGGATTTCCATTTGATTCCTGCAACAGAAAAGAGATCTGAGACAAAAATCAATATGTGACTAAATTATGAGAGTTCATTTTCACAGTTAATTTTATCTAAAGGAACTTTTCCTCTCTTCTTGTGCAAATCTAGATCACAATATTAACTACTCTGTTTTTCTAGTGTTGCCTCTTCTATGCATAGCAAAGGCCTAAACATCTGAAATAAATAGGTCGCAACATAAAAATTTGGGGTGTACCTACCGTAAAACTGATCAAGCATTTTATAAGGGAGGATGAAAGCAATGTTTGCATTTCAAGATGTACAATTTTCTCATGTGATGCAATATTTTTAGGCAGCAATTCATAGTTCTGGTCAGATGTTTCAGTTCAAAGTGATTTTATCAATGACAACTATAGAAAGCCATGACTATCTGAAATAAATATCATTTCTCTTTGAGGCACTGAGCTCTGTCCTAAAGGAATATTCAAGCAAACACCACTGCTAAAGGAAAACATTTCTGTTCTGCTTTGGTTTTCTTTGTTTGAAAACTGTGAGTTTGATTTTCGTGCCCAAAAATGAATCAGAAAAACTTAGTTGTAACACTGAAGTTGTGACAGGTGGCTAAAATCCTTTTGTTTAGTTTTATAAAATTAGTATTAAATAAAACAGTGTTATGAAGACAATTTTATTCTGACTCTCAGCTTTCTTCTTTGTATCATCTCCATAAAAAGCTTTCAGAACATGAAAAGGGAGCAGAGCAAGAAGCATGTTAGAGAGGCTCCTTTAGGCTTGTGGATGTTTTTTGCTATATTTGATGCTTAGATCATCCTCAGTTCCCTCAGTTACCCTGCAGCTTTGATCTTCAAATTCCCCCAGCACTGAAACATCCCAGCACATGTAACTCCGTGGTAGCAATGGCAGAAACATAGATGTAGACTTGATAGTGATGTTTACATTACAGCATTTCTTCAGCCTATCTGGTGCTGGCATAGATGATATTATGATAAAAATATTATGCCACAATGGTGAGATAGTTTGAGAAAAATGTCCTGAGCAGTGCTATATTTATTTGAGATTTTAGGGGCTGTAAGTCAGTAGCAATTTTTTGGGATAGTTAAAGAATTTTGAACGCTCTTCTTATCTAGTGCATGTCTTCATCAGAGCAACATTGTTTGGGGTTTAGAGTCTGCTCCAGTGTACAATTGTGTTTCTATAATTTCCTTTAAGAATTACTTTTTAAGAAGAGACTGACTGCATATACATTGGCCAGGAAATGCAAAATTCATCTGACTTCATTATTTTACATTACTATTTAACATAACAGTCTGTCAGAAAATTCAGGTGCCACAAAATGGGGAAATCAAACTGTTCAAGCTAAAATGTTCTTGTAGGAGAAAGGGTAAAGATTCAGACAAAGCTGATGGCTACTTTCAACATCTTCAGGATGAGATGTTTAAATCCGACTTTCAGAACAACTCCTCATTTCCTGTTTTGAATGTTAAGAGCAATCTGAAATAAACCATTTAAAACTGAAGAAGTGCCATTGCAAATGAAAACAAATATTGAAATCTCGATTCATGCTGAAAAGAGAGAACCTATCTTCCACAGAGATCATCTTACTATTTATGCATATCTATCTGCATGAGTCAATCCTCTTATTTCTTCAGTAAATATTTTTTTCATAGACTGTAGATTGTTATGTTCCCTTTGGTAAATGTTTAGCTAAGTTTTATATGCAATATTTAGCTCCATTACTCTTTCCTAAGATGATCCTTCCAGCTCTTCATTTTCTAAATTCTGCCCTATTAATGTCAATGAGGTGATAATCAGTTTTCACTTACATGCTCTTTTAGAAGGAGAGTAACATTTGACCTTTGTAGAGGGACTGTTTTTTCTGGTAGGCTTGCAAAATTGTGCTTCTCCATACAAAAAAATCCTTGAGGCAGCCTTAACTGAATAACCTTGGTCTCCCTCTATTCCCTCTTTTTCAAAATAGTCATAGTCTATTGCACTTCAATTAGGATTTATTTTAGGCTTCCTAGCTATAACTCATAATCCATCACATTGTTCCTGAAGCAATCTTCATGAAGGAGGCTCAACTCAGAAAGTGAAAAATAGTTGGTATTTTTGAGGCTGACACAGGATTTATGGTAGAAGAACATTTTTAACTTAAGCAAAAACTTTTTTAAAATCTGATGTTGGAAAGCTGACAGAAGAAAACTGAAATTCAGAAATAATTTCACGTTTTTTGC